CCAAAAGTAGAGGACCCAAAGAAGCCAGCGCAGCTGGGCAGGTCACGCAGGGAGGGCGAAGCCGTCGGCCCTCAAAAGGCAAAGTTCGCAAAGTTCCCTCTGAAGAAGGGGGGGCCCCTTAGTCAGGGCCAAAGGTCGCAGCTGAGACTGCCAAAGAAGGTGCCGCAGGCACACAGCAATCCCACTGGGTCGAAAGCAGCACGAAGTCGCCCTCGAAAAGGCCACCCCTGAAGCCCACAAGCAAATAGTGAGCCAGCTGCCCTCGGGAGGTAAAGGAAAAGGAAGAGAAGCACAGCAAGCGGAGCGGCGCAGCTATGGATCTTCGAAGCACTCAGGCTCCGGTGCCACTATGAAATGCACGTGCAGCGCACTCAAAAGGCTAGCCGGTTTTCCTGCCGATTGCCATAATCGGGTCAAGGCCTAAAAGTCGGCACAAGCACAGGCAGGCTGCACATCTCTCGATCAAGGCCCAACGCTGTCAGCAACTGGTTTCACACATATGGAGCTTGACGCTTGTGAGCCCATCCTTCTCAACAAGCCTACAATCTCTCAGCCCTGCTCCTTACACGATGCTCCGTGCACAGCCAAGTGCAGGACCACTGCTGCGCTCGACCAAGATCGCCCAAACTAAGGCTGCTGGTGCTGGTCCTTGGCATGCCATGCTGAGCATAGTGACCAATGCAGGAGCTGCGGGACTCCAGCATTTCTGTCAATCGTATCCTGTCCTTAGTCTTTCACTGCTGCACCACGACTCATCAACTTCGCTGTTACCCTTGAGTGTACTCGCTAAGTCAGTGACATCCTCATTTCCTTCTGGCGATCGCATCGGAGGAGAATTGTAGCCCTGGTGCTTGATGGGATCCGAAACCGTGGTGTCCAATGGCAAACGACTGATGACGGTGGGTTCACAGCTGCAGTTGTGCTTGGCACCTGGTAGAAGATCGGTGACCAGCTTGGTCGCCGTGCCCTGCCCTGGAGTCACGGTCCCATGAGGCCAATTTTTGCACGAAAGGAAGTCTTTCTGGCCCACACGCTCGAAGAGGCCCCGCCAGCTCGCCCCCCTGGCAGGGCGCAGGGCAGCGCAAAAAAGGAAGCGGCAAGCCCTTTCAGGGCGCCTCTCGGGAGTGCCCGGAGCTCCCGGGCCGAAGCCTCGCTTTTTCTTTCGCGTGGCAGCTGAGCTGAAGCGAAGCTGGGCCGAGCGCCTGAGCTTCCCCGCTCGGTCGCTGTCCTTCCCAACCTCGCGCTCTGTAGCGCTTTTTGCGCTGCAAGCTCGGCGCCGCTCCAGCGGAAGCTGAGCCGCCGGCCATGAGCTCAGTTGGAAAGAGCTCGCTCGCTCAGCTCCTGGCGGGAGTTCGGTCTCTCTTGCCTGGGTACAGGTGATGGCCTCATTGGAGAAGGCAAGAACAGACATTACAAGTAGCAGCGATCACAGCACGAAGGATCGTCACACAAGCCAAAAGCGAAGCGTCCAGCAGCTTCGACATGCCGGCTTCCCAACCTCAAGTTACAAATGCAGATGCACGCAGATGCCATCTGCACTCTCCGAGGGTCGTGCCGGCGTCGCTGAGGCTGCTGTGCCGTGTGCTCCTGGACTCACCGCGACTTGCCGCTCTGCCGCGCTCTGCCCTGCTCTGCGGCTCTTCGCTCTAAGCTTCGCTGCCGGGATGTCCCAGAACTCCATGTCACACTGGAACTCAGCTGCAGGAGTTGTCACCTGCAGATTACTGCCGCAACAGCAGCCACAGGCACCAACTCTCCCTATGCAGGGCCTGGACGACCGCGGGCTCACCGTCGATTGTGTCTCGCAAAAGGTTGCTCCGCAAGACATCGTGCCTGCAATTGGCAGACGGAGACTCAGGACTGGTGGAGTGGAGGTGGAGGAGTCTTCCGCCTCGCAATGACCTCGAGGTGAGCTCGAAAAGCATAAGCACGGTGAATTTGCGATTGCGAGTCGGCGAGTCGCATATGCGGTTCGCAGATCTGTGGCCCATGACCCGGTCCAGCGCAGCAGAGAGCGCGGATCGGTTCAAGGCTCCCTCCAACCTCAAAAGACTCTTCTCTCTCTGTGAAGCTCTCTCTCAGCCTCTCCTTGAAGCCTCGGCTCTGCCGATTAGCGCCCCGCTTCAGGATCAGCGGTGAGTTGTAGGCCGAGCTGCCCTCGTGCAACTCCTGCAACACAAGCCTGGAAGGTTGGAGCTCGAAATGCGAAATGCGCTGCTCTCTATGAATGAGAGCCAAGACTTGCTGTCCAAATGCAATTGCTGCAAGTGGCATGTGCTCTTGGCCCAGGGAAGCCGGCAGTAGCCCTTCGACTGGAGCCGGACCCAGGAGGATCTCCTGGCAGAGTCGATCGCGAATCCACTGGAAATTTCTCTGCGATCTTTTCTCACCTGGCGGCTGCCAGAAAGCACTTGGGCGAGGCTCGCCACGTCGGGATGCGCGTAGAGCTCGTCGAACTGCAGAGCCACCGCCTCGTCTCTCGGAGAGAAGCTTTCTTGCTTTCTTGCTGAGTTTCTTCTTGCCAAAAGAATCGGCCTCCGGCACCTGAGCTCTCAAAGCAGACAGCAACGCTGCAGCCTTGAGAGAGGTGCCCCCCAACCTTCGGTGGCAAAGAAATATAACAGTAGAGAGGACACGTTGTGTACCATCTATACCAGGGTCTCGAGACTCGAGCGTAAAGAAGTCCGAGTGGACGGAAGTGAGCGTCGGGTCTCGCCTCAAAGCCTGTCAGCACAGCTCTACTGAGACATCGTTACGACATATTATCCTTCTGTGCTGGCCTGGCAAAAGATGTCAAGGATCTTCTTTTCCAGGGAAGACCTCCCGGGAGCCCAGAGGCCACGAGATGCCACGGGCAGCAGCGCAGGAGCATTGCAGCAGCATTTTGCCATGCCTTGGGGGAACCGCATCCTGCACGCAAATCGTCGGCACCGGTAATGCCTTGCGGTCCACCTGCCAGGCAAGGCATCACAACCGGAGCCGCAAGCCTGGATTCGCTCTCGTGCACTCGGGGGCCTTGCCCGTCCGCCCTCTGGGCCATTCCTTGACATGGACAAGCTCAGGCCACATGTACCTGCCCAGTGCACCCAGCACTCACCCCGGCTTTTGAAGACATTGGCGCTCTGCCACTCTGCGCTGTCTGCTGGCCTTGGCAACCGCTGCCTAGTTTTGTCCACGCACTGCGCGACCTGATTTTCTATACTTGCGGCTCCTGGAATAGTCGGGGCCTCTCTCCGAGAAGGCCGCCGCATCGCCTTCCTCCACACCCTGAGAACACTGAGCTCTCGCGTCTGGCACACAGCAATGCACAGCAACATGCAGGGCAGCGCAGGGCAGCGCAGTGGCCTGCAAGGTCGAGAAGTATCCGATGAGCCGGTCCCCGTGCACCAGCGCCACGGCCTGCGACCCTCCCGGCTCCCCGCAGTCGCCGCCGCCGCCTTTTTAGGCCCGGGGCCTCGGTGACGGCCTTGGCGGAGAGGAGCGCCGCCTCGATCTCGCCGAGCTCCACGCGCTGGCCGCGGAGCTTCACCTCCGAGAATCAGGGCAGAGCGCTCTCACAGCGTGTGACAGTGACCCTTCCATTTTCCTCATATTCCTCACTTCATGTCCATGACCATGACGGTGATGTCTAACATGCAACGGTGACAGTTAGGCGGTTGTGCGGGTTCGACTCACATTTCCTAATGCCGGGGCGCAGCATCATTTTCTGACGGTTCGTTGATGTTCGTTGCGGCACCTGACTGTCCAGGCGTCCCACGAACTCGAGAACGTCATCCTGCTCTTTTTAGGGGATGGGATGATAAGCGCAAGCACTCTCTTTTGCCAGGGCGTCCTGGCAGTAGCGCCCAACATCCCCCGTGAGGTAGGTAATTGGACCGCATTGGGGAAGAACCTCACGGATGGCCTCCACAATGTCTGCAATCTGACATCTTTTTTTTAACAAACTCGGCATCAAGACTCACAAGCCAAGACCGCCAAGACCGCGCCGCGCCTCGGGAGTCTTGATGAAGCGCGTCTTCGTCTCTTGGGGCAGACGAAGGTATCCACTGGCCAAGCCCTGAAAGAGATCCGCGAAGTGTGGTGTTTCAGGCTCTCCGCTCCGACTCCGCTCCCCTTTCTCTCTCTCGCAGTCATATCCGCACCTCTCCCAGGATTCCGATCTGGCCCACACCTCCCAGCGCTGGGCCTCCAGACCATGGGGTGGGGATTCCTGGGCCTGGGCCCCAACTTCCCCAACAACCCCTCTAAGGCTCAAGACGCAGCTGTGGGTCAAGCAAGATCACCTCATGAGGGGCCGGCTTTATCGTCACCCAGAGCTTCAGAGATCCTCTTTTTATCGCTTTTTATCGCCAAGAAACCACAAGTCGAGAAGACATGCCTGAATATTGACTTGCCAAGTACTCAAACGTACCCGGTGAAACCGAATTAAGGCTTCCCATCAGATGCTCTCTTTCAGAGAGCTTTGTGTGCGAGTTGCTCGCTTCAGTGGAGGGCCCTGCAGCCCTGCAAGGGAGAGAGAGCCGGGCCTATGTCTAAGGCCCGGTCTTGTCTGACTGGCTTTGTGCCCTCGCCGTCCTGGCCATCCAAAGCTCGGTGTTCCAGGTCTTTCCAGGCAACGCCACCTCGGCTCAGGAGGAAAAGCCTCCCCTTTAACAAGCCTCACCTTGTCAAAGCCGCACCTTTATAAAGCTGAAAGAAAGAGCACTCTCCAAGAAATGCAGGCGAAGTCACTGGCCGGAAGCCTTCCAGGTGAGGATCCAACTCTGGGGGCTGGCCATGTCGGTAGTCTGTTCGGTAGATCGATTCCTTGACCAAGCTCTTTGCCGAGTAGGCCTGTGGGCTCTGCGGGCTCTGCGGGCTTCCAGGGCCTTCAGTGCTCTCGCTCTTCGGCCAATTGCCGAAGTGAAGCTTCGCGCCAGGGTCGCCAGCACTCTTCAGCAGCAAGCGCGCAGCATTGGCCTTCTGGACACGATCGGGAAAGTCCTCGATCGAGTGACAATATGCCAAGCGATAGTTGGACTTGTATGTCTCCTGCGACCAGAGATCTCCACTCTTCCCGGACTCCATGAGCGCAGAGCTACAATAACCTGAAAACTGGGAGCCAGAAACCTCAGACTCAGCTCACTTGCAGACCTTGCCACGCTTCAAAAGCCGTGGCATGGCAGCATGGCACCGCATGGCACCTCGTGCCAGGAGACAGGCCGTCCGATTGGTAGGCTTTGCACCTGGGCAGACTTGCCATGCGGCGGTGGCCTGCGGTGACCTGCGGTGCCCTGCGGTGCAGGGGCGCAGTGCGCGAGGGGGATGGGCGGGTCATCGGGGCCCCGCGCATGGTTTGGGACTGCACCAATCTTGTCCACCTGCGCGATGTGCGATGGATTGCGATGGTGCGATATGGAATGATGACCTCGTGGAATCAGTTAGTTAGTTGATGCTAGTGCTTGAGATCTCCTCGTAGATCGTGGCCCCAATGCCGGCTTCCGAGGGACCGTAGAAGTTATTCAAGGAGAGTGGCGCCTCCGGGCCACTGCGCCGCGCTGAAACTGGGCCTGGGGAAATCCGGCCTCCAAGATCCGCCGCGCCAGGCTCAAGGAGCAGGCCTGCATCAAGCCATCTCTGCTCTCTTCATGCAGAGGGGCGCTTGCAGAGGCCCCTGCAATGCAGGCGCCTCGCCCACCACGACCAGGGATCGCAGGCTTCGCGGCAGCGCCTGGTGCTCCAAAATCTCCTCGGAGCACCAAGCCGGAAGAGACCCGTACTATACCGCTGCATCACGGCTGTCGACGAGGGTCGGCCAGCAAGGAGGGCACGAAGAGGGCGTGGCCTCAGAGCAAGACCAGTGTGACAGTGACAGGCGCACTCTCCGAGAGCCCAGCTGACCCGCTGCTCATCAACCAGGGAAGCAAGATACTGGAAGTCCTCATCTCACCGACTCATATAGGTGTCGCGCGACAGCGGGCCCGCTGCCTTCGAGCCATCTCTCTTGCTGATCACGACCGTTGCCCCGGACAACAGTGCAGGCCAGATCTCGCAAATCGGCCTGGACGGAGTTCTCTCTTTTTGAGTTTGGGGAAGGGCCACCCGAGAAAAGGGCATCGAGGGCAGCACGCATCGAAAGTCCATGACGTGTGCTGCAGCGTCGCCTGGATCATGCAAAGACAGTAGACTCGGTAGAAGCAACGACCGCCTCTTGCCCCCGCACCTGCCCTGCTTTGAAGCCGAAGTGCTGGCTACTGAACATGACGTGGGCAAGCACTGCTCGCATGGAGAGCAAAACACCTGCAAGAGGGTTAGAGGCTTCGATTCGAGGCTTAAAGTAGTCTCTGAGTGGGGCCTTTAGGACGACCGGTCGAGCCGCCTCAGACTTTCCGAAGGCACAGAGAGGAAAGAGATCTCAGATAAAAGGCCCGCACTGGTGAACACGAGGAGTGCCTGGCCGTCCCCTTCCAAGTAGGGCCAGGAGGTACCGGGCGCACTGCGCCTGCCGTGGCACCCATGCGACTTGGTGGCCTGGTGCCCTGTGCTGGCCTGCTCTGGAGCTCCTGCAGCCAGACGCAAGGACATAAGAAAAACGAGGAGGGGGAGGGGAAAAAGGGGCGGGGTGATTCTCTGGCCTCGGTCACCAGGACGGGCCAGCCCAAGGAGTTGGCGACGGACTGCGCGCGGCGCTCGCAAAGGATGCACTGGGGGTGTGCCTCAGACGCAGAGATCACAGGCGCTGACATGTGTCTGACACACACAAACACACACTGACTGACTGCAAGCGACATGGGAAGCTTGGGCTCCAGGCATCCTGGGCCATTTGCTGGATCCGCTCCGTCGGGTGCGAGGAGTCCAAAGCGAAGTAACCACGTCCAGCCATCCAGCAGCCCAGTGGGCCCGCCACCATCCAAGGTCCAGGGCTCACCATCAAACCGACTAAGAAGTTAAAGCTTTCCAAGAAGGAGCCGTTGCCTTGCGAGCTGAGAGAGAGAGAGCCCTGAGCCGCCTCAGCCGCCTCAGCCTCCTCCACCAAGGGTACACGGCAGCTCAGGAGGCCCGAAAGCTGCCGGCCGGGGGCGGCTCCCCGGCCCTCTCGCTGCCAGCTGCCCAGGCTGCCCTGTCTTTCCCTTGTTGGCCCGCTGAAGGAGGCTTCCTCCAATAAGGCGCTGGCCAAGAGCTGTGCCCGGCGCAGGACCTCGCCGAAGGTGTAGGTCCCTTGCGGGCTCACCACCGCGAAGGCGCTGGGGTTCTCCGCAGCGCGCGACGCCACGAGTCGGGGCAAGGAGTCGTTGGGAAGATCCTGATTTGCACACGACATCAAAAACCGATGAAACCTTTGAAGGCCTCTTAGGCCTATTACAGGCCTTTTTGGGGCCTGTAGATGGACGGTCCTGGAGCCATGGGCTTGTGACCCGTCGGCGCAGCTCCGCAAGATCCTGCAATCAAACGACACTCTGTGCTGCCAAGGGCTTTTTCAGGCTCCCCTGAACAACTCAACAAAAACTCGAGATCCTCATCCACGAACAATGGAACTTGGCCAACATCCTGGGAAGGATCCTTCACCATGGACTGCAGGATTGTCAGGTACTGAGCCTGCAGCCGAAGTACCGCATCTCGTGTGTACGAAGTGGTGCTGTACTGAAAGCTGCCGATGAGATCACCCCGAGGACCATGCGCCACTACCAATGCCAAGTCAAACTGCGTGAACTTCTGGCCAAACCCGATGGACTCTAAGCGCAAAGGACCCAATGAAATCTCAGATCCTTCGTGGCCCATGAAAAAAGATGGAAGTCGAGATTGATATAGCTCATCCGGGCATGTCTGGAAGACAAACAGGGGCTGGAGTAGCGCGCGCAGATCCAGGCCCAAGTCATCGCAAACATGGCTAAGCGGCACTCGTTGATGCTGTAGGGATTCTGTCACATCCCTGGCCACATCCCGAAGCAGCTTTTCGTAAGTGTTCGACACGATGGCTCGGATGCAAACTGGATTTGCAAAGTAGCCGACAGTCGCTTCAGATTCGGCGGTGGTGCGACAGGCCATGGGAGTGCCGACGCAAATGTCCTCCTCCTATACAGGGCTCGAATTCACCATGTTGGCCTTCCAAAGTAATCAGAAGTCCATTTTTTCAGGAAAATGCCAGCTAACTTGATTGCCAGGGTGGCACTATCCCTCCGAGTATTCCCAGCTTGACGCAGCTTGACCCCTGGACGTTGCGACTCTCAGTCATGCTGGGCTCTCGTTGCGACTCTCGGATGCTGGCCGTTGTGGGGCGACTGCGTGTCATTTCTGGGGTTACTGTGTTTATGAACTCCAAAGCCCACAGTGTTTTGACTGGCGCCTGGGGTGCCTCACGCTCTCTCCCTTGAGCTTTTCTCACCACAACTGCCTGGCTCGAGAAGTAGTTCAGGCTTGTGTCGTCTTTTCTCTACATGTATTTTCCTGCTCTCCGAGTAGTAACACTACGGCGCGGACGTCAGGGGGGGACCCTCTTTTGTTGGTAGGGCCGTTGGAGGAGAGAGAGACACTTCGCCGAGCCGAAAGCCAAGAGCAGAAACATATCCCAACAAAAAACAACAAGAGAATTTGTGCACAAAAACGAGAAAGACATACAGACCCCTCTGCAGGTCCTGGCCATATCGGCTGAGTAGCACCATCCATGCCGTGAGCAGGGTGGCATGCAGGGAAGCCTCGCAGCGCTGGCCGAGGCACCGAAGGGACTCCGAGAGCTCGGAACTCACCTCGAAGTCCTCAGACTGAGGGCAGTTTAGGGCCTTAGCGCACCAATGCATGCGGGAGGACATGTTGTTTTAGTTTAGGAGTGCGAGGGGATCGTGTCAAGATGTGCCCAGCATCCAGCTTGCTTCCTTTGAAGGTGGGCTTTCGTTCGGTTGCTGTTGCTCCAGGCAGATCCAGCACCGGTGGTGTCTTTTGGAGCTTTTGGTGCCAGTAACTTCGGCTCCTCTGCCCCTGGTCGGACTGCAAGAACCGCTTCTCCTGCAAAGCGTAGTCCCTTAGTGAGCAGAAACGAGCCACATGGCGCTTCGTGGCTTAGTGTGACAGGCTTTAGCTGAGGGGCCTGTACTGCGGGGCGCTGCTCGGCCAAGGAGGCTCTTCATGCACAGCTCCGTCATGCCCGTCATACTGACTGTAATGCTCGTAGGCATCTTCGAGTTCCTTCAGCAGAATGGTGTAGCTCCACAAGTCGGCGCTCACGTGGTGGAGTGTCCAATGTAGGATCCAATTGTCCTCCGACTCCTGGAAGACGCGGACCCTGCACAAAGGCCCAGCTTCGAGGTCAAAGGTCTCGTACTGCTGGTCCAACAGCCAATCCAGCTCGAAGCCCATGACCCCTGGCTCCACATGACGGAAGTCCAGTGTGCCCCCTTGTTCTGAGAGAATCTTGCACTCGTGCTCCGCAAAGACACTGCGCAGCGCGTCGTGGCGGCAAGCAAGGGCACGGAAGGCCTGCTGCAGGCAGCGGACCTTCAAGGGCCCACGCACCTCAGTGACGGCTGGGGAGGATGTTCACAAGAAAGCCTCCTTTCCAGGCACTGCCTCTGGCTGGGGTTCGGGCATGGCCGCAGAAGGGGAGATTTAAGGCTGCGGAGGCGGCAGCACTCAGATTTGCCATCCGCTGCAGTGAGAGCTGCTGGAATGAAGCGGGGTACGACGGGTACGAGGAAGGAGCCCACGTCTCACTCTCCTCGGCCTGGGCCTGGGCGTCTTCCGCCTCTGCAGCTAGAGGACGCAGGCGGGCCGCCAATTGCTTCACACTCGGCGACGAGTAAACGTCTGCTATGGCGGCATTCAGCTTCAGCTCCCTCCGGATCCGGTTTACCAATTGTCCCACAGAGATCGAATGCCCACCAAGGGCAAAAAAGGATGCCGAAACAGGTACCTACAGTCGGTCGTGCCAGTGAGTCTCTGGCACTCGGAGTGACTCCATACCGCTCCCTGCCTCCGAGACCTTCTTGCTCAAGACCGCCGCGAAGGCAGCCCTCAACTCAGCCTGCAAAGAGAGCAAAAAATGTCATTAAGTATATGTGCACAATCGTTGCGCGCCTCCAGCTGTTCCGGCTCGCACTCCTCTGACGGCACCTGACAGCTAAGGTTGCTGTCGCATCTCGCTCGTGTACCGCAGCCGTCATTAAGATCCGTCTTAAGTTCGTCATTCGACTCAGCATGCGTGCCTCTTCGCGGACGCCAAGACTGGGCGGAGGCAATGCCGTTCGATCAACCTTTCCATTGGCTGTCAAAATCAGCCGGTCCATCTTGACGAAAACCTCCCAATTGCAGGAGACATTGAGGAGAGATTCATAGCAACAGAGCATGACAAAACACCGGAACTCGGCAGCTGGGCACTATTGCCGCAAAGTGGGCTACCGGTGCCGGGATTGTGTTGTTTTCAACCCTTTTGAGCGAGCTTATGGAAAAAGGAAAACAGAACGCACCAGATCAATTTGTTAAAGCTGCTTTTCTGATTCTGATTAGAAGGAACGAAGGTAAAATACCTTATTCGAAGGCAAAATACCTTATTGCACACTGACTCATCAGCTTTCAAATACTCCCAGTTTTGCTCACACACAGCGGGGGGGGGGGGGGGAATGTCCTCCACTTCGTCGGAGGAGAAGGGTGGTGGTGGTAACCCGTCCCAAGCTGAGGTAGGGGAGACCGAGTTGCGGAGAACTATCTTCAAGTTGTCGGCAGATTCGCTTCATTGTCGCACTCGTGCTGTGGTCGCCTCGTGCATGTGTCCTTTGAGACTGCTGCAGCCCTTGCCATGCTTCTGCGGAGCAAAGGTGGCAGCCTGCCTTTGGGATCATGAACTCTGGCAAGTCTGCTTGCAAATGCTGGTCAAGATCGGGTGCATCTGAAAGTCCTGCAAGACACGTAGGAGCTAAGCTGCTCTCACGCCATCGCATCCCGTCTCCTGCTTTGGGCGTCCAGTAACCCACCAAGATCTTGTCGTGATCGGGGAGCTCGTGGCAGTTTACGACGCATTCCCGAACGGCCTGGCGGTCATACAAGTATATATAAAATATACATATGTATATTTTTTTCTTTATATTATGTATGTATGAACACACACACACACATCTATATATATATATAGACACATGTATGTATGTGTGTGTGTGTGTGTATATATATATATACGGACAGGGGATGATCACGCGCAGAACCATTGGAAGAATGTCTGAGCCTGAACGGGAAGCACGGGGGAGGGGGCAACTACCTACTTACCTACCTACCTACCTGCCACCTGCCTGCCTGCCTGCCTGCCTACCTACACATATACGTACATATCCATTGCCATATCCATATACATATACGCATACATATACAGATACAGATATATTAACATAAACATATTCATATGCCTGTGCAGATACATATGCATATACATATGCGTATATACATGTACATCTATACATATACATATACATACACATACACATATACATATACATATACGTATACATACACGTATACAGTTATACGGTTAGTGTTTTGCTAATTTTAGGGGTACACAGCTTTGTCGTGAGCATGCTTGAACCAATTGCGGAGCGACGTGTCTGTAGAAAAGCAAAGGGGCAGAACATGAGCATCATGTGATAGCAGCGATGCGGCTGAATTTATTGTCGTAGACGAGCGCGCGCGTGTCGATACGGATGTGATGATTGAGATACAAAGAATTCCGCAGGAATGCTGCGCAGGAAAATGCTTCACTCGCCTGAATCAGGCAACATCAAACAGTTTGAGCATGGCTTTGAAAGATACGAATTCTTTTGAACCGGATTGGCTTCGTGAAACAGTTTCTACGTGGCTGCAACAGTAACAATAGCGAGAATGCCAATAATACTAATACTACTAACAATACAGCTGCTGCGACTCGTACTTGCACATGTGGTGTCATTAATCCTTTTACAATGGTGACCACAAGTGTTGCTATACGTATTAGTACAGGTGACACACACACACAAACACACACACACACACATGTATGTATATATATATATATGTGCCCGAT